GAAAAAGTCAACCCACTGAACATTATGGCATCTGCTGGCTAGAGTTTGCCTCTGATAGCACAAAGCTCAAGAGGCTAGAGAAAACATCAAGGGCACCTGAGAAGAGCAGTGTTGTAAAAACAAATAGAAGAAAAGTTCAGTATGTAAATTTGAAGATGTTGAACTGCTCATGAAGTTTTTTTTAAGGCAAATACTGTTCTGGCTAATCACCCATAGTTGTTCATCTGCCCGTGTCCTTTGAATCCTACTAGTTTAAAATTTTATGCATTGTTTGTTTTGGGGGTAAAGGGGTGTGTTTGAGAGGATGTTTGAACTTCCTTAGTGGTTCTACTGGTTTGGTTGCTGCCCTCAGAACTTAGGCTCTCATCCTGTTTGTCCCTGCTCTGGGAAACACTGCCTCTTCTTAGACAACTGTTTTCTTTGTTTCAGGTTCAACGTTGTTAAATCAAAGCATAATAAAAGTTAATACGCACAAATCTGTTGCATTTCTAAACACTAATACCAAACTATCAGAAAGAAAAATTAAGATAACAATTCTATTTACGATTGCATCAAAAAGAATAAAATACCTAGGAATAAATTTAACAAAGGGGGTGAAAGACCTATATCTTGAAAACTACAAGACGCTAATGAAAGAAACTGAAGAAAACACAAATAAATGCAAGATATTCTGTGCTAATGGATCGCAAGAATTAATATTATTAAACTGTTCATCCTACCCAAAGCAATCTGTAGATTCAATGCACTCCCTATTAAAATTCCAAAGGCATTTCTACAGAAAAATAAAAAGTAATCCTACAGAACCACAGAAAACTCTGAATAGCCAAGCCAATTTTGAGAAAGAAAAACAAAGCTGGGAGCATCATGCTCCCTGACTTCAGATTATATTACAAAGCTGTAGTAATTAAACACAGTACGGTATTGGCAGAAAAACATAGATCAACAGAACAGACTAGAAAGCCCAGAAATGAAACCATGCCTATATGGTCAATTTATAATAAAGGAGTCAAGAATATACAATGGGGAAAGGACACTCTCTTTAATGAATGGTGTTGGGAAAACTGGACAGCTACATGGAAAAGAGAGAAACTTGACCACTATCTTACACCATACACAAAAATTAATTCGAAGTGGATTCAATATTTGAATATTAGGAGCTGGAACCATAAAACTCCTAGAAGAAAACATAGATGGTAAGCTCCTTAACATAGGTCTTGGCAATAATTTTTTAAAATCACACCAAAAAGCTTCTGCACAGCAAAGGAAACCATCAACAAAATGAAAAAGCAACCTATTCAGTGGGAGAAAAACTCATACAACTCAACAATAAAAAGAACCAAACAGTTAGATTAAAAATGGGCAGAAGATGTGAATAGACATTGTCCAAGGAAGACATACAGATGGCTAACAGGTACATGAAAAGTTGTTCAAATCGTGAATTCTCAGGAAATGCAAATCAAAACCACAATGGGATAGCACCTCACATAGTGGCTGTTATCAGAAAGATAAGAAATATGTGTTGGTGAGGATGTGGAGGAGAGGGAACCCTTATGCACTGTTGGAAATGTAAATTGGTGTGGCCACTGTGAAAACAGGATGGAGGTTTCTCAAAAATTAAAAATACAACTACCATATCATCCAGCAATTCCATTGCTGGATATTTATCTGAAGAAAATAAAAATACTAACTCAAAAAGATATATGCACCCCCATTTTCATTGCAGCATTATTTACAATAGCCAAGATATGGAAGCACCCTAATTATCCACTGATGGATGAATGGACGAAGAGGTGGAACCTATGTACAGTGGGATATTACTCAGAAGACTGAATCTTACCATTTGTGATAACATAGATAGACCTTGACTGCATTATGCTAAGTGAAATAAGACAGAAAAAGACAAAGGCCATATGATCTCTCTTCTCTGTAGAATATAAAACAAAACAAAACAAAACCAAACTCATAGATACAGAGAACAGATTGGTGTTGCCAGAGGTGGGAGATAGAGAGTGGGAGAAATAGGTGGAGTAAAAAAACAAAAATAATAATAAAATGAAATAAAATAAAAGTTGTTTAAAGACAAAGTAGGTTGCTGTACAAAATTATTTGTGTTCTACTTGGTAGATAGCTATTTTAAGTAAATCAGGCCTGCCATTATTTTTATTTTGCCACACTGATAGTATGCTCTTAATAGCCTATCCCCATTCTCATATTATAAGGCAAGGTCCAAAGTTCTGTCATTTCTCCACCTACTTACTCTCTCTTGAGACTGAGCAGTTGCCGTTGTCAAAGTGTTATCCGTGAGTGCGTGCCCAGCCAAAATTTCCATGCAGTTGCTGCACAGATCATCAAGATTCTAAGCTAACTTACAGTATTGATTATTTATTCCTTTGAATATTTTTTTTTCCTAACTGTATGTAGGAAAGTGTCTTTAAGGATATACAACAGGCAATTTGGGCACCCTTAAAGGTAGTGACTTTCAAACATTTGACTGCCATTTATAGTAAACAATTATTTCTTTGAAATTAAAAAAATAAATATTTTTTATTTAAAGTTGACATTCAATAGTACATTAGTTTCAGGTGTACAGCAAAGTGATTAGACATTTTTACAACTTACAAAGTGATCCCCTTAATAAGTCTAGTACCCCCTAACGCCATACATAGTTATGACAATATTATTGATTATATTCCCAATGCCTCACTTTATATCCTTATGACTGTGTTGTAACTGCCAATTTGTACTTCTTAATCCCTTTACCCTTGTCACTCAGCTTGTAAAAAATAAATTTTGCATTGTGATCCCATGTACATGTGCATGGTATGTATAATGTGTGGCTGAAGTAAAATTTGATTAAACAGTACTTATCTTAGTTATGTGTGATACACTTTCTACTTGCTATTATTTTGTTTTTTGCTTCCTTACAAAATGCTGACTGTAAGTGAACTTCCTGACCCACCAACAGGTCACAATTAATGGAGTCTGAAAAGGACTGCTTAACAGTCATCAAGTTTTAGGATGTCTTAGAATATTAATTCAGAGAAGGCTTTGGAAATGACCTGTCAGCAGCCTTCCCCTTTCCTCTTATTTTATGGTTGGAGGAAGTGGAAGCTGAAGTTCGAGTCGGGTAAGACTTCCTTGCAGGGACACAGTGCTGCTTTGTGTTTGTGCCACTACACCCACTCATTCCTGGAGTCATGCAGTGGGCAGTTGGACCACAAGGACTCTGCAATTTTTGAGCCTAGCAATTATGCCCCTGTGTGGTTTCATGATAATGAAAAAACTATATTCACTTTCCCTCCCCCAGTTAGCTATCGAGCTATTTCTCCCTTCATTAGTTTATTATCCCCTATTCTTGCCAAAGGGAAGACTATTAACAAAGCATCGAGTGCACTCCCTTTTCTTCTAGGCATGGCACACAGCCGTCATTGTCAGGAACCCAAAGGAGAGTATGGGTTGAATAAGAAACAGCTGTAGACACATACTTAGACTTTTTAAAAAAAGGTTTAAATGTGTATTTTCTTTAAGGCAATTGCACTCTTAGCTTTTGACAACTCCAAACCTCTTGGTGTAGTTGATTTTTTTTTCTCTTTTCATTTTTTTCTTCAAAACCAGTAGTGATCCCCTTTAATCAGAATTTTTAGTTTCTTTGCTCCTGTTGTGAATAAATTATAGCACTTATGGTCAAACAATTAACAAAAACTTTTGAGTTCTCAATATTATTCATAGTGTTTTAGTCAGCATGGGCTGCTATAACAAAATACTATAGACTGGGTGGCTTAAACAATGGGAGTTTATTTTCTCATAGTTCTGGAAACTGGTAGAGGTGGCGGAGGATTGGTATCTGGTTAGAGCTCTCTCCTTGGATTGCAGATGACTGCTTTTTTGCTGTGTCCTCACATGGTGGAGAGAGGGAGAGAGCTTCAAGCAAGCTGTCTGGTGTCTCTTTAGATAAGTCTGCTAATCTGATTGGAGCAGGGCCCCACCCTCGTGACTTTGTCTAACCTTAATTACCTCCAAAAATCAACACATTAGTGGTTAGGGCTTTAATATATAAAAGTTAGGGGGATACAATCCAGGCCATTGTACAATGCTAAGATCTCAGTGGGGTTTAAATATTTTCTGAAGTATGCAAAGAAACGCTCTCAATTGCACTTGTTAAAAACAGACTCTTCTATTTGAGTGAATAGATGTTTTCACACTCTATCATTCTTACAACATTCATTAGCAATAGTAACACATTTAATTTCTTTTACATTCTTAATAATGCGAGTATGTGGAAAATAGTTTATAGTTAAAATTTTCCCAAGAATAAAATGATACCTTTAAAAAGTTTTTTTTTTTTTTTTTGCAGAGAATTCCTTTTTTAATGAAGATTCTACTTCTCATTAATAGTTGAATTTCTAAACAGCACATCACTATTTCAAAACTTTAATATAGAAAAGCTTCCTACCGTCACTGAGCAAAATACATGTTTTAGCCAACAACCCTTTCTGCTAAAGACATATTTTAAAACAACTTTTATATGACTGGATTATTATTGCTGTTTAAGAGGATGGATGAATCTCTTACCTGTGAAACTGTAATGGAGCCTGGTGTTTGTCTATAAGAAATGTTATAGAGAGCCACTCCAATAGCTCACACAAAATATTCATTTAAACTAAAGAAAAGCAGAGAGGGAAGATTGAGACTATTGAATCATCTTAAAGCCCTTTTGTTTTAAAGTCCTTGGAAACCCCAAACCAGTTGTTACTTTTTAGATTGCTATAGGTAGACTGTTGATCAAGAAGTTTTTTTGCTATTTTTCTGGTTTCTAGGTTAAAAGAGGTGTGGGCAATTTTACAGTTTTAGGGGGCCTATACATTTCTGTAGTGGGCTTTTGTATAAAGAGTTAGTGCTGTGTGTCTAGATGAAATATTGAGTGTCTCTCTATAGTGTCTTTGCTTGAGTATTTTTACTGTATTAACACATATATGTTTACTTTGTTTCTTCTATTTCAGTGTTTGTCAGCTGAAGAGATCTTTTCCCTTCATGGCTTTTCAAATGATACCCAGGTAACCAGCTCAAACTTCTCTGTCATCTGTCCAGCAGTCCTACAGCAACTGAACTTTCACCCCTGTGATGAGCGGCCCAAACACAGTACAAAACCAAGTCTTTCCGAAGGTATGTTGGAAGCTTGTTCTTCCATTTGTTTGAAAGGTCTGTGGGCAAGTCTTGAAATGAAGTCAACATGCTTCTTTTTCTGCTTTATCACTTTTATTAATTTACATAGAACCCCTTGGTAAAGTGCTTGTGTTCTGTAAGTATTTAGAATAAGAATAATTAGAGCTCATTTAAGCTTCATAAATCATGCTCTTCTATTTGTTGGGTCAAAATTATACTGGGTACCACATAAAAACTTTACAAAACCCAGTTCTTGATTTAAAACTTATGTTTAATGCTGTACATATTGGATTACATATTAACTACCTGGTTCAAAACTGATCAGTTAATTTCCTTCACATTGTGCTTATAATATTATTTAAAAACCTGTCAGTTTTTCTGTAAGTGTCAGTAAAGGGATAGGAGAACTAGAGTGTCTCTAGATTAAACCTTAAGGTTCTGAGTTATCACCGCTGTAATTTTCATAAATGAAAGAAAATGCCAGCATCTGTTCTAAGTGCCTATAATGGTATTGCCATAGAGACTACATTTTAAAGGATTCATCCGCTGCAAAGAATTTTTAAAATATAAGAAAACAAATGCTTGTTTACTATATAATATAGTTCACTTACTTACAAGTGCAAAATTCTTTCACAAATGAGATAAAACCAATTGTTCGGGGGTCTCTTTGCCAGCTGTTTGCCATTTCTTGGTATTCCTGAATTGTTACCCTGCCCCAAGGTATTTCAATTCTCATTGTTTTTGTTTATTTGTACATTCAATACATGTTTATTGAATGAGTTGCTAAGCAGTGTTCTGTGTATTGAGGATTCAGTCATGAGCAAGAAGAAACATTTCCTGCCCTCTTAGGGGTTTATGACGTAGCGGAGAAGAAGCATGATAATCATTTATACAAACAAACAAATCAATAGTATGATTTCAGAGGGGTAAATGCTTTGAAGAAAATAAAGTAGGTCACAACAGAAGGAGATGGTGGGTGAGTGTGAATTTAGATGAGTAAAGGGAGGCCTTTCTGATGAGATTACAATGGAAGAGAGTCTTGACTAAGGATGGGGGACAGGGCCATGGCAAGATCTTTGGGGAAAGAGCATTCGAGGTCCAAGGAACATTCAGCATAAGCTTGGGAATGTGCTTGGCATATGTAAGGAGCAGCAAGAATGTCTGTGCATCTGGAGCATAGTGAACAGGAGGGAGGACAGATGGAGGTGACATCCTGGGGGAGCCCGGGGCCTTGTAGCACACAGCAAATTGATTGGATTTTATTCTGAGTGTGGTATGAAGACGGTGTAGGGTTCTAAATAGGGAGCGATAGGATTTTATTTGGATTTGTAAAAGACGGTTCTCCCTGCAATTTGAAGGATAGATGGTCATGGGGGAAGAGCACAAGCATGGAGATTTATTGGTCAGGAGGCTGTTGCCAGGGGTTGGTGTTCGGATGATGGGGACTTGGGCTAAGGTGGGAGCAGTGGGAGTGGGGAGAAGTGACTAGATTCAGGATTGATTTCAAAGCCTGTCCTAAAATGGTTTCCCTCTGGTTTGGATGTGGGGGCGGGAACAATGAATTAAGGTTCGAGTCCTTGAAAAGTGGATAGGTGACTGTGCCATTTCCCGGGATGGAGAAGACTGGGGAGAAGTTTGTTGTTAGAGGAAGCCAGTGGCGAAGATCAGGAGTTGGACATGGTCAGTCTGAGACACTGATGCAGACCAACAAGGAGAGGTGTCCAGTAGGCAGTGGCATGCACACACTGGGAGCTCAGAGAATAGGCAGAGGCTGGAGATGTCATTTTATTTTATTAAAAAAATTTTTTTTTTTTTTTAAGAGAGAAAGGAAGGGAGAGGGAGAGAGAGAAACATCAATGAGAGAGAAACATTGATCGGCTGCCTCCTGTACGCCCCTTAATGGGAATCAAACGTGCAACCTGGGCATGTGCTCTGACATGGAATTCAACCAGTGAACTCTTGGTTCGTGGGCCAGCCCTCAAACCCTGAGCCACACTGGCTGGGCTGGAGATATGTCATTTTAAAGATGGCAGTTTGAAGCCGCCGGTCTGAGTGAGCGTATCTAACATGAGCATACTAGAGAGTATAAAGAGGGTAAAAACAGAGAATAAAAGGGAAGCCTTGACAAAGGGAGAGCCTGTTTTGTTTAATTTTTGGATTCCTTTTGAATGCATGATTACTCGGTTTCTGCCTGGGAACAACAGGAACAACAACAACAGTGACAAAAGTAATGAGTAAGCCAACTCTTACGTAGCACTTACCATGTTGCAAGTCCTGTTCTAAGTGCTTTATGCATGTCAGCTAAGTTAGTCTTCATACAACTATGTAATGTAGGAACCGCTGTTCTTATTTTGTAGCTGAGGAAACTGAGGCACAGAGAGTTTAAAGTCATGTGCTCAGGAGGACACAACTTGTACATAATAGAGCCAAGTTCACACCAGGCTGTCTTGGCTTCAGAACCCATGTTCTCTTTTATATTCTGTAGTTACATATACAAAGATAGAAATCACAAAGTATACTTGTGAATAACAATAATTTTACAGCTATTGTTCAAGCAAATATTTTTAATGGAATCTGTACTAAGTGGGAATATGCTTGTATTTCTACAAGTCTGTCTAACGTTAATACAGTTTGCACTTTACACTCAGAAGTAAATTCAGTGAATGCTTCCTGTACTAACATTTACTAACAGTACAGCATAGCAGAAGCATAGATTCTCAAGTCAGCCCACCTGGGCTCAAATCCCAGCTCTGTAATTTTTCTAGCTGTGCTGGGCAAATGATTTTATTTATGTCCACCTGCCTCAGTTTTCTCATCTAAAATAGTCTCTTTCTCCTAGGGTACTATGAGGATTAAATAACTTAATATTGGCAAAACATTTTGAATGCTACCTGGTTAGGTACTATATATATATGTCTGTTCAATAAAATATGTATAACGAACATAATTATGAGTACAGGAGGTGAGGCTTCAGAAAAAAATTCTCATGTTTACTCTATCTCAGGTATCAGGATGTGGGAACAGGGAAGTGGAAACAGGGAGAGAGAGAATTCTAGGGTCAACACTTCAAAGTCATAATATGGAAAAATCAACAGTTTTTACTTACAAGATTAGAAAGGCACCAAGTATCAGAGGATCCCCAAAAGAGAGATTCCTCCTAGGGCGTACATTATCTTAGGAATTCAAATGGAGCCAGAGTGGGTGGGATGGGGTGGGAGGAGTTACAGATATATTTCTGGAGAACTAGGGAAACTAGTGGGGTACTTGTTATTACTAATATAGGATATTTAATTTGACAATATAATGCCTTTTTTGGTGTGATATCAATTGTTTTATTTTAGTGCAGCTGTGTGAAGTTGATCAACATATTTAATGTTTCTGTGTCTCAGTTGCTTCATCTATGAAATAATAATACCCTCCTTATAGAATTTTTGGGCATATCAAATGAGTTAACATATGCAAGGAAGAACACGTCTTTGTTCTTCTTATACATGTTTTCAAAGATTCATTCATTCCTGGCCCGTAAAGCCCATTCCTCCCACACAGAGAAATATATTTTTTAAAATAATGAAATGCACTGGATTCTTGATATAACTGTTCATTTAATAAAGAGTCACTTTTGAGTTCATTCAATGAAAAATCAAAATAAAAGTAACCCAAAGGAGTTACGATACAAGGATTTTATGAACACACTTGCACTAATGTTTCAGTGGTCACATATGAATCTCATTTATCAGAGAATTCATGTTTTGTGATTTTGAAAATGCCTTTCAGGTGCTTTATAAAGTCATACTAGTGAGTGCAATAAATGATGGTAAATTAAATTCTTTAGGAGATAAATTAAGTTTTAACAATAATTTATGGTCCAAAATTGTTTCATTATTTTGATGCAATTACAAAATGTTTAATTCAAAAACAGATAAGAATAATAAAATTTTACTTGTAGCATCCCTGGAGATCACATAGTTCAACTCCATAGTACAACTGATGACATGTCTTAAGCTCCAGCGAGGTTAAAGGGCTTTCTCTAGGCACAATACGTGAGGAAAGATGAAAGTCTAGGGCTCCTAACTCCTAGTCTGTTGTTCTTTCACTATATAACAGTGAGCTAAAGGAACTATTATATGCTGGTCTACTTACTAACTTTTAAAAAAAATAATGATAACATTTATTGAAGACATTACTATATTCCAGGGACTGTGTTAACTGGCTTTATGATATTCCTGTAAAAAAAATTCCACTATGAAACAGGAGAATTTAATGACAAAGTAGGTGAAGTTTTTAGAAGAATTTTAACACATTTTAGCATTCAATAAATGTTAACTATTGTTACTAACATTCCCTGGAAATTTATTAAAATATTTCTGAGTTCACTAAGAAGCAGAAAATCTCAAACAGATAATTAGAGGGAGTCCTATGTGTATATGGAGAGATCCAAGGAATATTTTTATACTAATTCATTCTTTGGTGCCTCAGTTGAGTAGATGATGGATTCTCCCCCTCCCCCCACTGAATAGTGTCCTAACAATGAAAGAAGGGGAAACTAAGCAGTGTGCCCAGAAGAGTGATGATTCACACTCCCAAAGTTCCCCAAGTGGTTCTAATAAACTTGTGCATTATCACAATATTAAGGAAAGTTAGAAAGATTGGATAAGCAGATGAATTGGTATTTTTTGACAGAGTTCTGAGCTGCACTTTGAAATATGGGCTTCATTAATTCATTTATCAAGGAGTGTATGCTATTTGCTAAGGAACATTTTAGGCACTGAAGATGAATATAACATAGCCCCCTCCTTGAGAATATCATAATTTATATGGCATAGACGAACATATAAGTGATAAAATTACTGTAGCACACAATAAATGGTAAGTGGACCAGTTAACTTCAGAGAGCTATGGAGAGCTTGAGGAGCGAGGCACTGCTGCCTGGAGGAGCTAGGGAAGCTTCACGGGGGGAGGTCTTTGAGTTGGCTTGGAGAGCTTATGTGAGTTTCTCAGGTGATGAACATGGAAAGATATTCCTAGATAGAGAATCACAAGTAAAGGTAATTCTCTATTTGGAAAACATTGTGTCTGCATAAAGGCCATGTTGAGAAGGGGGTAAATAACACTGGTGAGGTTGTATGGGAGTCATCTGATGGAGGGCAATTTCAAATAGGGACATGAGATGATCAGAGTTGTGTTTTAGAATAATGAGCCTGGTGGCCATGTCAAGTGGGGGGAGGAAGGCCAGACAGAAACTGTCATAATGCAGCAGATGAGAGTGAGAGATAGTGAGGGCCTGAACTCAAGGCTTAGGTAATGAAGATGGAGAAGCTGGAGAAGCAGAATTGATAGAGTTTGGTCACCAATAATATATGGAATTGACTGGTGGAGAGCAAGCAATTGAAATTGATCCTAACGTTTCTGCTATTTATGGAGATAGTGAACAAGGGTAGAGGAGCAGGATTCCATAGGGGAAAGTGATGAGTTCAATATGTGTATGTGGCTTTGCCTCCATTTGATACTGAAAAACTTTGCTTTTTTATTTTAGTTTCAACATGTATACATCCTGTCTACCCAATGAAGTTATAAATATTGGCTGAATGAATGAATGCATGTAGGCTAGTGATGGGAAAGAAGGTTATTCATGTTAAGGGAAACTACACATGGTTATACCATGGAGGAAGATGTGAGATTGAGAACTTTCTCTACATGGAAAGTCTGAGGAGAATAGCAGGTGTTGTTTTAGATGATAAGATAATACATGGGAATGATGTAGACCTCTGTAGGTCCAATGAGAGGACTTTGTAGGGCATGGTCAGGAGTCTTGAATGGGTAGGAAAGTGGAGAAAATAAAGTCATGGTTAGTTATGTGATGATTCTTGTGGTAACATAGTAACATTTATTTATTTATTTTTTTAATATATCTTTATTGATTTCAGAGAGAGGAAAGGAGAGGGAGAGACAGAGATAGAAACATCAATGATGAGAGTCACTGATAGGCTACCCCGCAACCCGGGCATGTGCCCTGACCGGGAATCGAACCCTGATCGCCTGGATCCTAGGTTGAAGCTCAGCCACTGAGCCAAGCCCGGCCGGGCCATAGTAACATTTATTACCTGTCCTTTTCATTTGGTACTCAGCACAGGCTACCTTATACTGCTTTGTGCATGGGCATGTCCTCACACTTTTCAGCTCCCCAAGTAAAAGATGCAAGCTGCTTGTTGGCAGGAATCATGCTTCACTTCCTAGGTTCCATAAACATTTGCTAAGATTGCTTATTGGTAGATAGATTTGCTTGAACTAGAATAATGGCGACCAGTCTTATATTCATAAAGCATATTATAAAATGTTTAGCTTTGTTGAGCTCCATGGGCTTTTTAAAAATTAAATTACCTCTACAAGAGTAATGATACATATTGCTAAAAAATGTGGGCCCTGGAAACAGACTGTCCTGGTTTGAAAACTAAATGACTTTCTATCTGCATGACTTGGGCAGCTCATTTGAACTCCATATGCTTTGGTTTCCTCAACTATATGAAGGAGGTAATAGGGTTTTGTGAGGATCAGATGAATCAATACTTGTATTAATCAGTATCAGTGCAGTGCCTGGCACACGGCGAGCACTTACTAAGCATTAAGTGCTACCATGGTACTCAACTGATAGTGTCCATGAGAAAAGTGGCCCAACATTTAAAAATGTCTTCTGGACAAAGAAGCTGCAATGTAGAGGCAGCTTTCTAATCTTCCACACTGCCTTTGTGCACAGTGTGTGAGGGCCACAGGCAAAGCCACATGTCACACAATTAGGGGGCCATTAGTATGTCGGCATGCGCTGCCATCGGGACTGTCCTGGGCTCACAATATGTTTCACTTGCATTCCCATTGTGTCTTTAAAAACTAGCTCCTTTAGGATAAATTGAGGCCCAAAGGCAATAGGTCACACATGCCATTAACTGTAGAGCTTAGGATGATATTTATTCATTTTATTCTAAACAGCATTTAATAGGTGCTTTACTACACCTGTTGGATTCCAGGCCCTGGATCTAGAGATGAAAGATGCACCACTTCCTTCTGCCACCAGGGTCCCTACTGTGTAGGATATTCTTGCCACAGGTTTGGCCGGGCAGGGGCAGTTGTGCCGTGTAACTGCTCTCTCCTGCCCCCTTGGTCCCTGTCCCGAGGGCCGCCTGCACTGGGCTGGGCCCAGCTCAGGATTCAGCTGAGGTACTGCCTTCCCCAGGCAGGTGCTCTCTGCAGGCGCTTGCAGACAAGTAAGTGATCATGACAAGCTCGGTGTCAGCAGCTATGGCCCCCTTGAAGTTAACCCACCACCCATCTACCACACCTTTTTCCTGAAACTCACATGACCTCTATATTTCTCTGAAAGACTGAGTTTTAACTAGGCCGTGAACCAGTAGATAGACTAAGTGTCTTGGAGCCTGTGGGCTTCAGATTGTCACTATTCTAGATATTATCCAAATTCCCTGCAAGCTATACAATTCTTTGATCCCATAATAATGACTTAGGAATGAAAACATAGGCAGTGTTTCTCTTAATATTTATTAGGCTATGTGGTCTCAATTTTCTATATAATTTTCATTGAGATGATTTTGTGGTTTAAAAAAAGATATCTGTCTCAAGCTTTTAAAGAAGAAATTTGTTTCAGGTTTCACGTATAGTAAGACTTCATTTTGGCTCCTTTGCTCTGATTAATTTCTCTTTTTCCCCTCTGATTCACAGTTTGGGGATATGGATTCCTGTCAGTGACAATTATTAACCTGGCCTCTCTCCTTGGATTGATTTTGACTCCGTTGATAAAGAAATCTTACTTCCCCAAGATTTTGACCTATTTTGTGGGGCTAGCTATTGGGACTCTATTTTCAAATGCAATTTTTCAACTTATTCCAGAGGTAAGGGTGTTGCTATCTGTTTCTGTGAATAATTGTTTCTTTAAAATGTTTTAGCGCTTTGTACATTTTAAACCTCCATGATTCTCACAGACTTTTATGCCCTGGTTTATGGTGTTTTGGGTAAAAGGGAGCTGAATCACAGCAAATGAAAAAGCTTGTGTCAAGCTGCAGGGAATGTCAGTGTCAGAGATAAAATTATTATTCCAGGAGGCCAGCCACCAGGACGTGCTTAGACAGCTCTGGGACACCTCCGAGGGCCTTAGCGTTTTATTCTGTCCTTCATTTGGACAGTTTAATTTTTCTACTTACTTTTATTATTTATTTATTTTTTTCAAAAGAGTGTGCAATGCCAAATTTATTGAAGATATGCCACAAAATTTCCTTATATATTTACTACAGCTATTGGACACTAAGGGATAAATAAGAGCATGGCTCACAAACCTTTTCATTGTTTTTTTTTCCCACTGTGGAAAAAAAAAATCAATTGAAGGCCAATGAGTAAAGAGCAGCTTATTTTTTTCCTTTTATAAAATGTCTTATTGATCTGACATTGACGATAATGCACTATTCGGTTAATCAACAAATAACATATGTGTTTTATTTTAAATCTATATTATGGCCATACAGTATAAGGAAGAGAAAAAGAGGAAGGAAAATAATTGAGAGGAAAGAGAGGGGAAAGAGAAAGAGACACTAATAGGAGGAAGCCACAAAGGGGAACTAGAGAAATATATACCCATGGGCTGTATCTCCCCCCACCCCCAATGCACACACAAAGATGGGCTGGTGTTCCCTGAGCAAAGAGAAAAATAGTAGCTCAGGGTACTACCCTCATGTCATAATTTTCAGAAAACTATAACTAAAGCTTCTTTTAGTTTTCACAGCTATAAATGAAATTGGGGATGTAACTTCTTAGAGTCATAGACTTATTGTTGTTGTTATTATTATATTTAGAAAGGAGCTAGGAAGGTCATGTCAACTATAGAGATGAAAATGTAGTGATACATAAGAAATGTCTCAGGAAAATAAGAAACTTCTTCAACAGCATTTGTAGATGTCCTTTTGCCTGCTTGTAATAATTAAGGAATTATGGATGTACTCAGAGAATTATATAAGCACTGAAGAACCTGTCTTTGTAATATTACCTCAAATTTCCATAGATAGTTATTTCTCTTTTTTTGGGCAAAATTCTTTTCCTTTTGTTACTTCATTTGATTTTCATAACTTCTGTATTACATATATATAGTAGGTATTTTTGTGCCACTTTTGCACTGAATAAACAAGCATAGAGAAGTCACTCAGATGAAGATGTGACCATGAGCTCTCCCCAGAGGCAGACATGAACAAGAGCCGAGGCATTCTCTATTCTAGGTTGCTCTTTAGAGGGAAGGAAGATTTACAATGTCTGGAATGGTGTAAAGCTTTCTCCTGTTTTATTTATTTTAAATGTGTGTTTCTTGTCTGCTAAGAATATCTTTACTCTTTATAATTTCAAACTCCAGTTCTTGTCCTATGTCCTCCAAAGAATGAATTCCCATTCTCATAATTTTGTGTGTGTGTTTGTGCATGCGTGTGTGAGAGTGCTCACACCTGGTACCTTACATCTTTTCTTCTTTATTCTTGGGCCAAGTTCTTCATTTATTTAATCTCTTTAGGACTTATCAGAATCCTCTAGATTCAAGGGGATCTCTCTTGGGAAAACAGTAATCCAACTGGCTTGCCATATTTGCTTAAAAACTTGACTCTGGATATGATAGGCAAATATATTACTTTTAGAGAAAGCAAATAGTGTTTCATTTACCTTCATTACCTAGATCTAATATTATCTTACAAATGTGGAATTCAGTGCTGCTTCTTTACTACTAAAGTTTCCTCTTTCAAGGCAAGTGTTTCTGCAGGTGTTAGAGCTAGGAAACAGGAAGGTACCCGGGTCTTTGTTTGCCGGAGCATCCTCTGGTTATGAGATTTCTAAGGCATCTCTTACAGTTTGCTTACTTGAATTTCAGAGTTTCTGTTTTGTGATTTTGGCAGGTAAGTCCCCAATATTATCTGGACGTGAAGATGGAATGTAGAACCTTAGTGAAAGTTGAATACTGAGAAATTTTGGTATTATTTTCTAGAAATAAAGGTAAATTACTTGGTTTTACCTGAATTTCTTTTTTTTTTTTTTTTCTCCCCAGGCATTTGGATTCAATCCCAAAACTGACAACTATGTTGAGAAGGCAGTTGCTGTGTTTGGTGGCTTTTACTTACTTTTCTTTTTTGAAAGAATGCTTAAGATGTTATTAAAGACATATGGTCAGGTAAGTGGACTTTATTTAAAACTTTTGATATGTTACCCACCAAAGCTACTTTATATAGGCAAATAAAGGAATGGATTTTATTCTAAGAATTCCATGAACTGTTCATATATTATATTGTGAATGTGAGGACAAAGAAAAGAGTCAATATATTGATAAGGATAAGAGAAACACTTGATTTATACTGTAGAATTTGGAGTATTAAGAATTTAACGTTGAATAACAGATAGTCTATTCATATTCAACAAAATAAGAAGATATACATACCCTCACATGAAAAACAGTTATAACAGACTCTAATAAATGAGGATACATGTAAAGGGAGAGAAACTTTATAAATCTAAAAAGATGAGGGTACACAAAGCACAGACATAACATTTTTCTCTTATAAATAAAAAATACTAAACTCTATTTTCTTGTCTGTATGAGCCATCTTTTTTTCTTCTCATAACCCCTTTTCACTTTTTAAATTTTTCCATGCAGAATGATCACACCCACTTTAGAAATGATGACTTTGGCCCTTCTCCAGAAAAAACTCATCAACCTAAAACGTTACCTGCCATCAATGGTGTGACTTGCTATGCAAACCCGGCTGTCACAGAGCCTAATGGACACATCCATTTTGATAATGTCAGTGTGGTATCTCTCCAGGTATGGTAATTCCATTTGTTTTTTGTGGTTTTTTTTTTTTTACTAACTGATCCTTTACGCTATGTGAAGATTGCTGTGAATACAACCAAGTCAGTATTTTGTACATTCAAATGGGCCAGACTTGCTCCTGTATATGTGGGATAAGTAAAATGTAAGTCTGCATTTTTTTTTTTTTTTTTACTTTCCCTCCCTATGTTTACTCTAAACAAGTGAATTAAGCAAGAAATTATGGGTTACTGTATCTGAGGCTTCTCTCTTCTCTAAGATTGTTTAACTGTGTAACAGTCACTTAGATTTATGCAATAGTGTGTAGCAAAACTAATCAAAGCATTTCTCTTATTTTGCAATTCTTTCGTGATCCAAAACCAAATAATCCCTTTGAGTGATTTTGAAACTGTAAGAAGAAAGAAGATTTGTAAGCTAGTAAAATTATGTTAATTATTAATTGACTTAGAATTTGTATTCTCATTTTCTAAATAATGTTAATAGGTATCATTGCTTGAACAGGTATTATATGCCAGGTTACATGCTAGGCACTTAAATATTTTATCTCATTTGCATTTTATAACAATGATTCAAAGTAGGGTTTGTTTTCTTCATATTAGAAATATTTCAGTTTCAAGTGATAGAAATCTTATCCAAATTGTGTATGCAAAAAGGGGAATTTATTGGAAGAATGGTGGGATATCCAATGGAATAGCCATGCTACAGGAAAAGCAAGAGCCTAGGGACCATTAGAATCATTAGGGACCCTCCCCATGTTTTATTCTCCTTGCATGCATTTTTCTTCACTATGGACCACCTCCTAAATAAGTGGGAAACATAGACACTAGAAACTCCTCTGAGGTTTATCTCTTATAATTTCAGCTATAAAAGGAAATTGACCTGACTCTTTCAGTTTTAAATCTAGAATTCCTGGCACAGGTTTTCTTGGTCCAGCTTGAATTAGATGTCTATTTCTAGATTAATCTAAGTGCTTAGAGGGTTGGGCCTCTTATATGGCCCCAAGGGGATATGGAGTGAGTATTAAGAAGGATGCTGGGATGATAATATCATTGTGGTCCACAACAATTCTCATTTGACAGATTAAGAAAGTGGAGCTTTAGATATTAAATAATCTCTCCAGAGTCACTCATCTTAAAATGACAGATTCACAAACTACAAAGTTAAAAGTAATGCCAAGAGGACAATTCAAAATAAAATGAAAAGGAAAACCAGTCAAGGTAGGAAAAAAGGTAGAAAAAAGATACCTGGACAAGGTCATTATGGAAAGTGACCTGAATTTCCTTCTGGAAAGAAAACATGGTTGGTCATATCCTTCAACTGATTAAGGAAAATCTCAAGTGCATTTGAAGAGGCAATTTGTGTTTGCAGTAAGCTGAGAGAGAGAATGATTTCATGCAATGTAATGAAGGATGCTTTGGCCAAGATTTTGCAAAGAATATGGAAATGTTCAAATAGATAATTTCTTCAAATAATTATAGCTAACATTTATTAGATACTCAAGGACTACACCTAAACTTTAGATGAATGATCTCATTTGATCTTCATAATAGCCAAGGAGACAAGTAGTGTTATAATTAGGAGGCTGTGGCTGAGAGAGGTAAAATAACAAACCCAAGGACACACAGATCTAAATGGTGAAGCTTGGATTAGGACTGAGGCCCTCTGACACTGAAGGCTGTGCTCTTATAAACCGTGCCGAATTGCCGCCTTCATGTCACTGCTCTACTTGAATCAAGATGATGACATTAACTCAACTTCATAAATATTAATTTTTTGTAGGGGAAAGAAGATAATTTGTCCCAAGGGCATTGCTTTCTGAGGACAAATAAATTGAATTGCTCAAAAGTTTGATTTTAGTTTTCTTACCTGTTTTGTTTTTTATTTCTCCTTTTTTTCTTTCAATTTTATTTTGTATTGGTTTCAGGCATACAGCTTAGCGGTTAGGCAACCATATACTTTACATAGTGTACCCTGAGTATTTTCAGTATGATTTTAGTTTTTTAAGTTTTAGGACTCCTGGTTTATAATTCACTATGGCCAGAAGACACGTTTGCAGTAAATATAAGTTGGAGTCCTAGACACGGTCCTGTTTTTACATAATGCAGGAATATCAACCGAAAGACCATTCTTACTTCTGGTTGTAGTGCTAGTGTACAGGCTTTTGTTCATTGATTCCATAAACATTTACTGATACCTGCTTGCTATCCTAAGCACTGGGGACTCAGAAACAAATTAATTCCTCTGGAGCTTATAGTTTATTCAGCAGAAAGAGATGATATATAACAGAGTAAAACAAGAAAATATCAGGTAGCAATAAATATTTTGATGAAAATAAAACTTGGTGATGTGGGAGATTCTTTGATTGACTGATCAAGAAAGATCCTTTAAGCCCAGCCAGGTGTAGCTCAGCGGTTGAGCTTCGACCTAGGATCCAGGCGATCGGGGTTCGATTCCCGGTCAGGGCACATGCCCGGGTTGCGGGCCCCATCCCCAGTCGGGGGCCTGCAAGAGGCAGCCGATCAATGACTCTCTCATCATTGATGTTTGTATCTCTCTCTCCCTCCTTTCCTCTCTCTGAAATCAATAAAGATATATTAAAAAAAGAAAAAAAGAAAAGAAAGATCCCTTAAGAGATCAGTGGAGAACTGGATAATGAAAAAAAAAAGAGCCAGCCATGTAAATCTCTGGGAAAGAAATATGAGGGAACTGGAAGCTAAATGGCATTGTGCTTCCTGACATCAATGCTAAAGGCAAGTGGCACAATTTCTTTAACATTCTGAATAGAAACAACTGTGGAATTGTAGACATAGGTAAACTACTAAGCTAGTGAGAGGGTGGAAAGAAGCTTGGATTCTGGAAATGTACCCCTAGGAATAAGAAGTTCAAGTGAAGGCAGAGAAGGTGGGAACCAGAATGACGACCAGGTACCAGGCCTTGAGATGACCCATATAAATAGTCCTTACACTAATTTTTTATGGGGATTATTTTCTGGCTATTTTGATTGAAGGTATAGTTTTGAGTGAAGAGAGTTAAACAAATTGAGCAAAATACTGTTATTTTCAGTTTTCTCTTTATATTGCGTTAAAAAATTGAAAGACGTGGAACTTAAGGAATACCATAAGGGTCTAGATAGGACTTTAAGAGACAGTAGATGTTGTACTATAAGTGATAGTGATATTAGTTATAAAATTAAAATATTTTCTAATATTTTATAAGATATAAATAATTTAACCCAGGTGAGCCCTTTACAATGATCGAACATGACATGTTAAATTTTTGCTTCATTCCTGAGTCCAAGTATTGCCTTAAGATTTTCATTGATGACTTCTGTTGCTACTGATTCAACCCAATAAAGTTTTTCCAAATTGAAAATAGTAAGAAACCATCTAAGCGTGAGTTATGAAAAGTAATCTAATTCGACGTTACTACCAACAGAACACAAATTGTGTGACAATCTAGATTATAACAGCGTGATTCTTGATTTTGCTAGAATGTAGGAAGGGCAAAAGAATTGTCACAGTATAACTGAAATGCGTGACTTGGGCATGTCACTATTACTCATTGCAAGTCTGGTCCACACAGAATACTCAGACATGCAATAATATTGATGTTTAGTTGCCTGTGGTATTTTTTTTTTATACCCAGTCATATAAAAAATTATAGCTTTGCACAACTTTTTAAAAATTTTGTTGCCATGGAAGCATATTTATAATAGTATGAGGATAGAAGGTATTTTATTTAACAGTTTGTTAGCTTGATTATAACTTCTAAAGATTTATACATGTGATGGGAAACTTCCTTAGTACCCTTGCTCCAGACCCTGTGAATGTGAGGCACTGCGGTCCCTGTGGGCATGGAGCACACGCACAGGAACATGCACGTTTCAGGAAAAGTGGAGGTAATAGGGGGAAAAGAAGACGGTTATGAGGGGAGAAGGGAGCACAGGATTCCATTTCTCCAGTTACTCACTTATTGCCACTAGGTAATGTTTCACATTTCACCCTGTGACACTAGCTGCTTTCTTCTTTTCTCTCTCTGACTGGTTACTGTATAGTCATGTGGAGAAGGCATTTCAGTATCTGTGCAACTGAGGGTGTCTTTTCCCTGAATCTATAGCTTTGGAAGGACTGTGTTTATTAGTTGTTTTTAAAAAACTTATTTTTTCAATTACAGTTGACATTCAGTATTATTTTGTATTAGTTTCAGGTGTTCCGCATAGTGATGAGACAATCATATACTTTACAAAGTGTTCCCCTGATATAACAAGTACCCACCTGGCACCATATGTGGTTAATATAATATTATTGACTATATTACCTATGCTGTACTTTACACCCCCAGACTATTTTCTGACTACCAATCTATATTTCTTAATCCCTTCACCCTTTTTACCCAGCCCTCCAATTGTATCTATGAGTCTGTTTCTATTTTGTTTGTTTATTTTGTTCTTGACTCCCTAGGAATGTTACATATTTTGAGGAGTGTTAGCTCTTCAGGGCCACTAGAGGGCCCATCTAGCTCACCTCTCCTGGACTCTAATCAGTCCCATTTTCTAAATGAAAACCTCTTGTGTTTTCATTTAAGAATAGATACTAATAAATATCAACTGATATGAATCCTCTTTTTTTCATAATAAAAGAAAAATGAGTATCAGCCATTTTAAGAAATTGAGTATTTTATGTTTAAAATTGAGGTGCAATGAAGTAGAATTTAGCTGCAAAGTATGGTGATGTTAAGGAGACATTTTGTCAGTACTGAGAGGAAGTGATACTCTATAAATATAAAGACAACCTATTTGATGTTTCTGGGTCTCTAGGAGAGTCCAACAGATTTTAAATACACTTAATTCATTCATCAGATATTTAATGAGCACCTAATGTGTACTTGGCACTATTCTAAGAATTGGCGATGCATTGGGACAGAATGAACAAAGTTTCTGCCTTTCCATAATATAACTGAACTATTATATAATATTATACTGAAAAGTGGAAAAC